TAGACAGGCCTCTTCTTTGTCTGTTTTTAAATCACTTCTTAAAACCCATCTATTTTCCTTGGCCTTTGACACATAGTGAATTGTTGATTTTATTTTATTTTATTTCATTTTATTGTTTCTATTGTATGCTTGTCATTGTCTTATGTCTTTTAATTTAATTTAATTTGTATTTTAAATATATTTTTTATTCTATTGTGTACAGCACTTTGTTCAACTGTGGTTGTTTTGAAAGTGCTTTACAAATAAAGTTGGATTGGATTGGATTGGATTGTGTATGATGACAATAAAAAGCATTCTATTCTATTCTATTCATAGACCTCCTTTATGCCAATGTGAGAGATGCATATAGTGCCATTCCCCTGCCTCCACTGGGGAAATCAGATCACAACCTTGTCCTTCTACAGCCTCAATACAAACCTAGGGTACTCAGGGAAGCCACAAACACACGCTCCTTCAGGAAATGGTGTCCAGAGGCAGTGGAGGCTCTGAGGGACTGTTTTGAGTGCACTGACTCGAGTGTGCTGCAGGAACCACACAGCAAGGACACTGAGGGGGTCACACACTGCACCACGGACTACCTGAACTTCTGCATGGACATTGCCCACCAACACTGTGTGCTGCTTCCCCAACAACAAGCCATGGATTACCAGCGACATCAAGAAGCTCCTCAACAAGAAAAAGAGAGCATTTAAAGATGGAGACCGGGCAGAGCTGAAGCACGTACAGGGAGAACTCAAGGTCCAGCTGAGAGAGGCTAAGGAGTCCTACAGCAGGAAGCTGGAGCAGAAGCTGGAGCAGAAGCTGGGAAATAACAGCATGAGGGAGGTCTTGGAATGAAAACCATCACAGGCTGCAACAAAGAAAAGACCACCAGTTTAGCAGAGGGGGATTGGGTGAGAGCAACCCACTTCTACAACAGGATTTATTCTCATTCTCCTCCTCTTGTTGCCACGGCTAGAGTACAGGAACCTGGTGGAGGACTTTGTGATGTGGTGCAGGGCAAACCATCTGCAGCTCAACATTGCCAAGACCAAGGAGATGGTGGTGGATTTGCGGAGGTCCGGGCCACCTATGCAACGCATCTCCATTGAGGGGTCCAATGTGGAGGTAGTCAGGACCTACAGATACCTTGGGCTGCAGCTGGATGACAAACTGGACTGGTCATTCAGCACTGACACGTTGTTCAAGAAGGCTCAGAGCAGGCTTTACTTCATGAGGAGGCTGGGGTCCTTCAACATCTGCTGGAAACTTCTACTGATGTTTTATCAGTCTGTCGTTGCAAGCGTCCTCTTCTATGCTGTGGTGTGCTGGGGAGGCAGCGTTAAGAAGACGGATGCTGGGCACCCCTATAGCTCACCTAGTTGAGCGGGTGACCCATGAACAGGGGCTACAGTCCCCAACGCGGCGGTTGTGAGTTCGAATCCCGCTCATGACCCTTTGCTGCAGGTCTGTCCCCATTCTTCTCTCCCCTTTCCTGTCTCTCTCTACTGCTCTAAATAAAGGCAAAAGCCCAAAAAATCTATTTAAAAAGAAGACGGATGCCAGCTGGAGCAGGCTGGTGAGGAAAAAGGGCTCTGTGGTCGGCACAGAGCGTGACTCCATAACATCAGTAGCAGAGAGAAGAACTCTTGGCAAACTGCTCTTCATCATGGACAATGCCCACCACCCTCTGCACAGCACCATCACCAAGCAGAGGAGTGTGTTCAGTACCAGGCTGCTGTCTCCATCCTGCTCCACTGACAGACTGAGGAAGTCGTTTGTCTCACAGGCCATACGGCTCTTCATCTCCTCTCAGAGAGAAACGTATTTAAACAGACATCTCTGGTTATTTGCACATTACCATTAGTAGTGATTTGCACCTTACTTCTGCACAGTTACTAATATTTTTTCTACCTACTTGTTTCTGTATATTCTGAGTGTGAAGTCTGTGTTTATATGCTGCTGGTTGCTTGAATTTCCCTCTAGATTAATAAAGTATCTACATAAATAATTAAATAAATAAATAAACTTGACCAGCGCAAAAAGTGCATGATGGGGCAAATAGCCTTATTGGTTATGGTGAAATGAAGTAAACATCACCTACTAGTTGTTCATCAAAGTTATAAAACATTATTTTAACACTTATTATTCTGGACACAGTTAATTTCACCATTACCTTTTTAACTAAAGTTGATGTTTAATTATCCTCTCATGAACCCACATTATATTACTTTATCAGCTCTCCAAGTTCTATCTATTTATCTACATCTATGTGTACAGTGTAGTAAATAGCAAGTCCACTGGCAGCTTAAGGAGCTTGGAAATTCATTATGTCAGTGATAGATCTCACAATAATAGAGGTATAAATGCGTATGTGAAAGAGACCCTCACAGTTTTGCAGGTAGGAGCCAGGTTCTTCTTAATGAAGGGCAGAGTGATGGAAACAAGAGCCTCCTGGAAGATCCTCGTCCTTACTGTGCTGCTGTCATAGTTGTATTGCTGCAACATGACAAAAGGTAAAGATAAGTACACCTGGACCTATAAAAATTATTAGACCACCCTTGTTTTCTTTCATTTCTTCTTCATTTTAATGCCTGGTACAACTAAAGGTACATTAGTTTGGACAAATATAATGATAACAACAAAAATAGCTCAGAAGAGTTTAATTTAAGAGCTGATATCTAGCCATTTTCCATGGTTTTCTTGATAATAACCACAATCACTGAAGTTCTTACATCAATCGCTATGGCACTGTACTGCCAAAAACAGTGCTTTGAGGCATTCCATGTTTTCTGTTTGTTTTAGTCACATGATACACACAGGAGTTAGTACTTGATTACATAACCATTGTTTTTGATGACTGCAGCCATGCATCTTGGCATGCTCTCCACCAGCTTCTGACATTGTTCTGCTGTCACAGCAGTCCATTCCTGTTGCACAAATTCAAACAAATTTGCTTTGTTTTTTGAGCTTGTGGTTCTCTATTTGCATTTGATGATTTTCCACAGGTTGTCAATTGGATTTAGATCTGGTGATTGAGCAGGCCAAGGCATGGTTGGAATGTTCTGGTTCTCCATTCAGGCTTTAACTGACCTTGCCGTGTGGCAAGGGGCATTGTCTTGTTGGAAAATCCAGTGACTGGAGGCATGCAAGAGTTTTCCAGCTGACAGAAGAAGACTGTTTTCAAGAGTTGCCCTCTACATGACCTGGTTCATTTGCCCTTCACACAATTGTATTTGCACTGTTCCACCCATACTGAAACAACCCCAGATGACACTGCTCCACCCCCATGTTTTACGTTTCCTGCCGCGACCAGCTAGCAATTTGGTCGTACCATGTTCTTGTTTTTTCTTGGTGTAATGAACGGCTGTCTTAGAGATCTTCAGTTTTTTCGCTACCTGTCTCTCAATCATGCTTATTTCCAGCAGTGTCAAGATGGCTGCCTTTGTGGCTTCACATAATTGTTTTTGTATTAGGCATCATGTGAGAGATGACAACTTCTGAGTTGTGCATCAGCTTTAATGTGTGCAGGAAACAGCCTTTGCATGTGCAGTGCTGCTTATGACATGAAATGGCCTCTTTTATACCCTGGGAATACAATTAAGTTTAAGCATGTCAAATAGGACATAAGGTATTATGTAATCAGCTGCATTTTCTGTTGTGTTCATTGTATTCTTCAGGTACTATACCTTTAGTTGTACCAGAAAATTGTAATGAACAACAAGGGCGGTCAAATCATTTTTTCCACGACTGTATATATATATTTATATATATATTTGTAGTTGTCAATCTGTCCGAGCGAGTTTTTTAGTTATTAATTTAATTTCAGCACCTGCTGGTTTTCTGTCATAAATGACAAACTGACCTTGACAACTCTGTGTTTTGCCTTTTCAATGGCCGAACCAGCGTTGTCTGGGTTATCCTCGATGGCCTTGTTGAGCAGCTGCTCAAACGTATAAGCGGCATTCTCAATTAGCTAAGACAAGACACAAAGGATGAGATCAGATTTAACACTCCAAATACATACAGAGAAAACACACCATGCAAACAGATCAAATGTCCAGCAGCAGGCCACATTTCATGTATGGTAGGGTATAAAACATATACTTGGTCAAACAAAAAACACTGTAACTCTGAAATCATAAGTCCAAGTTAAGAAAATATGAACAAGGATTGTGTCCCCTATCGCCTACATTAAAACTGCATTAAGAAGATTTTTTTTTTTTTATGATCAATGTGTACAGGTGTGAATGTGAGTGTGCTTGGTTGTCTGTCTCTAAGTGTAGCCCAGTGATAGACTGGCGACCTGTCCAGGGTGTCCCCTGCCTTCACCCTAAGTCAGCTGGGATAGACTCCACCCCCCCGCAACCCTAGTGAGGATTAAGTGGTGTATAGAAAATGGATGGATGGATGGATGGAATATGTACAGGAAGTGAGGATTACAGTAAACAAAAAAACCTTTTGGTGTTAAAATAAGAATCTGAGTATTGTCTCCATAAACCAACAGACAGAGTTATCTGGACATGTTACACAATTAAAATTAATTAGCTACAGCTAAGTTTAAATAGCAAAATGACTGTCAGTATTGGGTAAAAGTGACAAGTTGCTAACATTTCTTGCAAGTTCTCTACATTGTTCTGTACTAATAAAATAAGAAGTCAACCTATATTATTCAAACAGGTCTATTTTTTTTCTTAATTTTTTTCAGTTGAAACACTTCGTAACAGGGATAAAAGAACGTGCACATTACAAACATCAATGAGCCATAAATGTTGACTAATTAATCATGGAGTCAGGACATTCCTCACCATGTCTGTCTTAAACTTAGTCTGCCTGCAGGGTGGTGAGTGAATAAATAATTAGTATGTCAGTGACAGCAGCTGTACCTGCTGCAGGTCAATCTGAGCACTGTGGATCACTCCTGTGATGTTGGAGAAGCCAAATCTCTCCCATAGGTGCTGAAGTTTATCCTGCAGGGAGCCAATCTTCTGGTAACAGCTCAACAAGTTTGGTCTTGCCATGTTGGCCAGAGCCTGAAAGACCACAAAAATAAGGAGGGTTGGGGTGGGGGGTTCTTTTATTTACATACATCTGCAGGTAACTCTTCATTTAATAGCAATTTTGTCCCAAAATTATTAACTATGAACTGTCATATATAAGAGTTATAGACAGGTACCGTCAAACACTGAATTTGCTGTGCACAGTTGTGATGCTACATTGGACATTGTTTTAGCAATTTGTTTTCTCTGTAGATGGCTATTATGAATACACAATAATACAAAAGGTTGTCTGACATAAAATATAGAGAAGGTGGAAGAGTATTACTGCCAGATAAATCATGTGGGTTGACCCCTACTTGTAACATCACAGCCTTTAAAATAGTTTGTGCTTTTTTTGGGCAGTGCTTCGACATCTGTTAGTTTCCTGACTAACGTGACAAGCAATGGGTGAGCAATCAGGAACAAAAGAACAGATTCACTTTGTTTGGTTGAGTAGATAGTTCACCAAAAAAAATGATCAGTGATGGAAACACATAAATATACTTTTTTCAGTTGTTCATTTTGTCCTCTCAGCAGAACGTCCTGACACACTTGGTCCATCATTTGTTCACTCAGTTGCTGCCCTTCGTGGAAACCAGAGCTGATCGGCTCCATCAGTTCCTCCAGAACTGAGGCCAGATGTGGCTGAACTGATTCTGAGCACAGTTTCTCTGCTGGCTCTAAGACTTTGGCTAGAGAAAGAAATGACATGTCAGAAAACAACCTGAACCTCTGACCCCTTCTTCCTTACCACAGGTTTCCCAGTATGATATTGACATTCATGTCAGAGCCCTGGCTTTTATCACCTCCCATCTACAGACAGTTTCATTCTTTTATCACAGATGAAAGCATTTATGTTGTATCTGACAGCCCTGCATGTTAGTCTGCCACTGAATGTGCTGAGACGCAAAGTTAATCGGAGAATTAAAACAGCACCTTGGATTTTTGCCTCGAGCTGCTGTCTGGAGTTGAGGATCTGGTCCATGTCGGAGTGGATCAGCACCTCCTGCTGTCGAACGGCCGTCCGACATTCCTCCTTCAGTGCTGACAGTCCCTCCAACAGATGCTCCTGAACCAGAATGTATGCTGCCTCCACTGTCTGAAAAAAAGCCAGTGAATTAGTCAAAATAAGTCAGGCAAAAACAAAAAAGTAAACAGAATCTTCTCAGCTCTTAAATTTTGCTTACTGCTTTCACAGTGATTTACAGGTGTACAACTACAGTAGATACATGCAATGCAGGAAATGGCTTACAGTTTGAATAATGTATTATTTCAAATTTAAATGATAATTTGTCAGCACCCCGCAAAGTCCTGTAACACTGCACTAGAATTGCAGGTAATTATAACAGTAACCAAGCAGCCTACCTATCCTGCAACCACACAAAGAGATAGCTAACACAACAGTGTCAACATACAGTGCTGTGAATAAGTATTGCCCCCCTACAAATATCTTCTCCTTTTGCATATTTGTCACACTAAAATATTTCAGATCATCAAACTAATTTTAATATGAGACAAGGATAAACCAGGAAAACACAAAATGCACTTTTTAAAATCATTTATTGAAGGAAAGATGCTGTCCAGTCCGACCATGTTTTCTGTGAAAAAGTAATTGCCCCCCTAGGTACCAATCTACCAAATGACCAAATTCGTTTGGCAATAGGGTTCAGTTTCACCAGTCACAACCATGTATGATTACTGCCAGACTTGTTGAATCTATACATCACTTACAAGTCATTGACATCCATCAGTCTAGAAAGTGTTGGAAGTCATTTTCAAGGCTCTGAGACTCCAGAGAACCACAGTGACAGCCACAAATGGAGAAAACATTCTACACTCTACAGAAAGAGTGGGCCAAAATTCCTCTGTGGTGATCTAAGACTGACCACAAGCTATCACAAACATTTCACTGCAGCTGTTGCTGCCAAGGGGGGCCCAATCAGTTACTAGGTTTAGAGGGGCAATTGCTTTGTCACAGGGGTGATATAGGTTTTTTTTGTTTGTTTTTTGTTTTTTTAAATATATCTTCAATAAATGTAACTATTTCATTGAAAAACTGCCCTTTGTGTTCTGTAGGGTACTTCTATCTAATATCAAATAAATGTAAATATTAGTTTGATGATCTGGAACTTTTAAGTGTGGTAATTATATGCAAAAACAGAAATCAGGAAGGGGGCAAATACTCTTTCACAGCACTGTATTTGAACTGGACAAAAGTTTGGTGACAAGCAGCTCTTGCGCTGATCTCTACATGGGAATTCAAAAGCCAAGGTGTGCCAATACAAAAGATGCGTTGTTTCTATTGGCCAACTTCATAGCACCTGCACTATGCTATGACGTATGCCGCTCTGCAAGCTGTGCGCTGTGATGTATACCAGCACAGCCACTAGAAATTAGATATCTTTAGCTGTAAGTGTCTGAAAGGGCCTTCACATTCACATCACTGAGACACATTGTTTCAAATTCAGTTCTAGAGTTCTTCACCAACACTAACTTGGGTATGCATGTTAACTGACATAATATACAAAAGTGGACAAAATTGTTGGTAGCCTTCTGTTAAAGAAAGAAAAACTCACAATGGTCACTGAAATATCTTAAAACTGACAAAAGTAAGAGGAACACTGATGACAAACGGAAGAGATGGATAATATTAATGGTGACCAAAGAGCCCAGAACAACTTCCAAAGAGATTAGAGGTGAACTCCAAGGTCCAGGTACATCAGCATCAGATTGCACCATGCACCGCTGTTTGAGCCTAAGTGGACTTAATGGAAGACAACCACTTTTGAAAAGCTATCATCATTTTTGTCCAGGTCAGTTGTATTAGTTGTTTGTTGTTTTTTTTTTTGAGATTCTGTTGAACCACAATTCAAAAGCAATGTCTGATTTTCATTGGTTAATATTCACTGCATTTTTATTTATTATTAATTTCAGTGACTATTCTTTAACAGAAGGGTACCAACAATTTTGAAAAGAAAAGTCTGCTGCCTTAGATGGAAGGGGTTCTGAATGGAACTGGGTGTATGGAACAGTGTTGCAGGTCACTATGCTTCACTTCAGCTCCCTTTTTAAGCTTCTGTGATGTGATTGCCAACCTTGTTCTATTATACATATCTTGGATGTTCCTTGCTCCACCCCACTGTCTCATTAAGAGCTCAGAGTCTTTTGTGTGTTTTTGTACTCTCAGTGTAATGAATCATACAAATGGAACATAGAGATAATGGAACACACTATCATACTTCTGTTCTCAACTGGCCGCATATGATCAGATCTTACTTCCCACCTCTATATACAAATAAACACACACGTTATTTCAGCTTGTCCTGTATGGATTCAATTTAACAAATCCACATCTGCCTGTACCACATCATTCAGTACTACAACTGACCCAATGCCAACAGTTATGTCTAAGTCTGGACCCACCCCAAACCTGTTTATATATATTTGTGACCAGACACACAAACACCCACTTTAAAGTGTTTAATTTTTTATTCATCCTTCAGCAAAACAAACAGTTCGTCTGAATGGCAATCAACTGTAACGGGATCTGAGAAGCTTAATGTGATTCAGAGCCACTGCCACACCCTTCTAAAGCATGGCATAGTACAAACCCAGAGCGTCTCAAACGAGAAACAGTCAGGAAACTAAGAGCATTGCCCAATTGATGTGTAACTGGTTGTTTGATATGTGATTGCATGCTCAATGCACAGTGCCCTGTGGCAGGATGTGATTTGTCCTTAGACTGAGTAGAATTTCTATCTCATTGCTATGAGATAAGATGAAAGCCCACACATATTCAACATAAACTGATGATACTCACCTGTGCAGCACTGCCAAAATTTGGAACATCCTGTGTCCAAGTGAAATACTATTTCAGGCGTTTGTTACTTCAAGGCTGGACTGCTATAATTCTTTGATATCAGGATATCAGTGAGAGAACTGACAGGAGCTAGCAAGACAGATCATATTTCTGAGGACACACTGGGGACATTGCCATCAAAAATAACAGTTTCTCATATTCTTGGAGTACTCTTATAGCCAACAACAGATCATGTGACATGCTTTGCTCATGGCTAAGACATTTTACAGTTAGCTGCAGTGGCTCTAGCAAGTAATTAAATCCGGTGGACTGTGAGGCAGCTGCTCATTTGGAAAGGTTCACATTGGAAGAAACAGGAAGTGAGGGGGGGGTGATTGTGCAACTTTTTAGCTTGAAATTGAACCAAAATGCTCCATTTTGGTCTCCTTAGACCACAGAATTTTCTTCTAGGTAACTTTAGAGTCTTACACATGACTTCTGGTGAACTGTAGTCAAGATTTAATTTCAGCTTTTTTCAACAGTGTCTTTCTCTTTGCCACTCTTCTGTAAAGATTTAACTGATGAAGAACAGGCAACAGTTGCTGTATCCACAGTCTCCCATGTCTCAGCCACTGAAGCCTGCAACCTCTTTAGAGTAGTCATAGGTATCTTGGTGGCCTTGGTGGTGAAATCTGTTTTCACTTTGACTTTGAAGAGCATTTTTTGGTAAATTCTTCTCTAAATTGAATTTTAAATTTACCACCATTCAGTGCTGAAAAGGGGAAACCTTAGTGTGGGGGTGAATACTTTCTGAAGGCACTGTACAAAGATGAAATAACTCACTGCAAACCAAACTCTCTTCTTCTCTGTCTTCTTGGCCTTGAGGCGAGGCAGCATGTCTTTCTCCAGAGTGGGCAGCAGCTGTTCCATCACGACATTAGCCATCACCTAAACACACATAGAAACAGCACGGTGACTGTTATTTTCATTTATATATTTTTCAACAGTTCATTTAAAGTGTCAAAAATAACTCAGTGTGCCAAACTTTTAGTGGCAATTTGTATAAAAATATAGATTTTAATATTGTAAGCGTCAAACTTAAGACCCAGATGATGTAACCTTTTTTTTTAAACTTATGTAAAATGGGGGCGACCTGATAGCTGAGTGTTCAGCATGCATACCACATGGGCTTAAATGCAGTCAGCCGTGAGCTCTTTGTTTGAATCCCAGCCAGCCAGACCTTTACTGTATGTCCTTCTGTCCTCTTTCTACACATTTGTTGTCTGTGCACACTGCTCTGTCTAAATTCAAGAAACAATGCTTTAAAAAAAAATCTTTAAAAAGCATATTTAAAATAACTGTAGATCCTGAATTATACTATGTGGATAAATACGAATGTAAACCTCTAAGGTTTCTTGAAAGTGTCAGAAACACTAAAGAAATACGAAAACAGAAGCAGCAGGACAGTAAAGCTAAATTTTTGCCATTTTTCCTAGTGTTGTGGTCATTTTGTGTGTGTGTGTGTGTGATAAACTTTACAATAGATTTGCAAGCTGTAGTGGACACTTGGCTGGACTGACTACGTTTGTTTTTTTCCTTTTTGGCTTTTCTTGTGTCAGGTTGCCATGCCAATCCATGGAAGTATTGTTTACTTTGGTCACAAGCTATTAGCATTATCTAGATGCTCACTACAACCCAGAGAAAAATTAATAATTCCAGAGTTTTTGTTGAGGATGCCATCATCTACCAAGAAATGTGTTTTGGATTTCTCCAGTACATTTAACACAATCCAGCCTATGCTGCTATGAGGGAAGCTTAAACACATGGGGGAAGACACCTTCACAATCTCCATGAGCAGGATTCAAACTCATGACCTCCACATCGGGACTGTAGGTGAGCTATAGCAGCGCCCAGCAATTCCTGATTTTCATTCACTATTTCCTTCTTTATTTTCTAATCACAGCTGCATGCTTTATTTGCAGTTACTTTACTTAAATTGTAGTAAATAGTCCTCTTTTGTAGCATTCATTTCATGTGACACTGAGATTCAAGATTCAAGGCTTTCATTGGTCACAAACACAGTTATACATGGTATAATGCACAGTGAAATGGGTTGTGCACCTGTACCACACCAAAACAATACTCAAAAGATGAATAAGAATAAAGAATAAAACACACTAGATAGATCGATAGTTGGATAGATCAATAGATCAATAGATAGATAGATTAAAAAAAACAAGCAAAAATAAATAACATTTTCAAACAGTGCAAACAGAGATAAAATAAATAAAGAAAATAGTAATATTTTATACATGTATATATATACAAGGTGGAAAGTAACCAGTTGGATTGTTAACACCCAAGTATTTGAAGCTCCCCACTCGCTCAACCTCTGTCCCGCTGATCCTGAGTGGGTGGTATTCCCTCTGCTGCTTCTTGCTGTAGTCCACAATCAGCTCTTTGGTCTTGCTGACGTTCAGGAGGAGGCTGTTGTCTCTGCACCATTCCTCCAGGTGGGTGATCTCCATCAAATAGTCCTCCTCGTTGTTGGAGATCAGATCCACCACTGCTGTGTCATCACCAACTTAATGATGGTGTTAGAGTCTGATGTGGACAGGTAGTCATTAGTGTACAGTGAGTACAGCAGAGGGCTCAGCACACAGCCCTGGGGGGCACCGATATTCAGGGTGCGTGAGGAGGACAGGTGATTTCCACTCGAACCACCTGTGGTCTGCTGGTCAAAACGCTGTAGACCCACCTGCACAGGGAGGAGGTGAGTCCGATGTCCTGCAGCTTGGTGACCAGTCTGGAAGGGACTATGGTGTTGAACGCTGAACTGAAGTCCACGAACAGCATTTGCACATAATTCCCCTTCCTAGTGTCCAGGTGGGCCAGGGCTGTGTGTAGCAGGTGATTTATGACATTGTCTGTGGATCTGTTTAGCCGGTATGTTAACTGTAGGGGGTCCAGGGAGGCAGGTAGGGAGGAGGTGATGAAGTTTCTGACCAGCCTTTCAAAACATGTCATCACCACAGAGGTAAGGGCTATGGGCCAGTAGTCATTAAGACAGCTGGGCTTGGCTTTCTTGGGGACAGAACAATGACAGACTGCTTAAAGCACCTGGGGATGATGCACAGGGAGAGCGAGAGATTGACTATTTCCATGAACACCAGTGCAAGCTGGTTGGCACATGTTTTCAGGACACTGCCTGTTATACCGTCAGGTCCTGCTGTTTTCCTAATATCCACACGTTGTCATGCTCCATCACAGTGCATGTCTCCTCCTCTCCCCAGGCTTCGAGGCTCCTCACTGAAAGTTGTTGAGTTTGTCGGCCAGAGAGATGTCAGCACTCACCATGGGCATCGGTGTTGCTTTATAATCCGTTATTGTTCGTAGTTCCTGCCACAGTCCCCTGATGTCCCTCTGCTGCAGCTGTGACTCCAGCTTCTCCCCATACCTCTGCTTGGTCTCCCTCATGGCTCTGCGGACTCTGTACGTAGCGGCCCATACAGTCCCATGTCTCCGGTAGCGAGTCCTGTATTGCAGGCGGCAGTGCGGGACTTCAGAGCGTTGTGGATGCCATGTTCATCCACGGCTTCTGATTGGGAAACTCCCTGACAGTTCTTTTGGACATAGTGTCCTCCACTAGTTTTCCAATAAATCCTACAACTGCCTCCGTAAACAAACTGACGTGATCACCAGAGCTCCGTTGGAACATGTCCCTGTCCGCTATCTCTTAGGCATCCTGCAGGGCGGCGTCTGATTGGTCAGATCAACGCAACACATCCCTCTCCACCGAGGCTGTTCGCTTCAGCCGCTGCTTGTACCTGGGCAGAAGGAGAATGGAGGTGTGGTCTGACCAGTCAAATGGTGGTTGTGTCTTTGATGCATAGCCGTCTCTGAAGGGAGAATATCAGTGGTCCAAAGTGGTCCAGTCTCCCTGGTGGGGAAGGCAATGTGCTGGCGAAGTTCCGGCATCACCTTCCTCAGGTTGGCACTATTAAAATCTCCAGCCACGATGAGGGCTGTTAGTCTGGTAGCTGAAGATAGCCTCATGTAGCTTGGCTAATGCAGCATCCGTGTCCACCTGTAAAAATGTATCCTTTGGGACTGCATCAGATGCTGCAATACCATTATGCTAGCCCCAAATGGCTGGTGCTAGTGACACCTATGACACCCTCCTTCAATATAATAGTCTTTTCTTGCTTTCCGCAGAAGCCTGTTGACAGATGTGCTATTGGTTGCCGAGCTAAACAGTCCACAGAGTGCACAGCTCAGTTATCACTCCTTGCATTACAGTTGGACACTTGCTCACAAGCAAGCAGTAGCAATACTCTTCTGTGGCTATTTTTGGTGCTGAAGTCAGAAGGAGGTAGAAATATTTACCAAAGCAACACTTGTGCTAACAGAGGCTGGGTTAGTGGTACCTATGGGTAGCAATACCTCACAACAGAACAAATGCCTATCTCTTTCATTGGTGAATCTGTGCCATCTCAGATCCATTCCAGAGTAAGTTTGAATCGGAATGTTTCATACAGACTGCAGATCCGCGGTCGGCATCAACCTTCATTATGATGTCCGCCAGAGAGAAACAGAGACAATATTTTCAATAATGCCACATAAGAAGTGTTCACATGCACTCTAATAAAAGTGTCCCAGCTCACACAACCAGGAAAACTGCATGGTTGTTACTGGAAGATGTTGTTGGAAAAACAAATCAATCTTGTGCGCCTCAATGCAGCCACTACAGATGCATAGTCCTATGGCTGCGACAATGCAGTCTTTTCAGGTGGTTCTACGTCTTGTGCTGGCAGCTATGGCGCACACAGGACACCATGTTTTGCACATCCCAGCCGCAGGAGGGCACCAACACACCAGCTTTGGAGAAGTGGCCAGCTCTATCTCTCTTTGCATGGGGAGAGCAGGGCTGCTGGCACTCAGTCCAAATGTGTGTTTACAACAATAGAAAAGAGCTAATCCAATTCAAGATCACTTCACCACATTTCAAAGAATTTATCTATTTTCATGCTCAGGCGAGTAATGCAATATTCTTTGAGGTGACATTGACAGAACAAGTTAACAGAGCTGTGTTTTTAGATGTCCATGCCCTAAACTGTCATCTAAGGAAATACTGCATGTTGGCACATGCCTCATACAACTCTTTTCTATGATGGAGTCACTGAAACACTTGCAGCTTTGTCACAAAAATAACACTTATGCCTGTTTTTTGTTTTTGTTTTTGTTTTGTTTTTAATAGAGATATTACAGGTTAGGGTTGCAAGGGCTGTGGATTAGTGGTTAGCATCGTTGCCTCACAGCTGGAAGGTCGCTGGTTTGCGTCCCGGTGAGGACACCTGGGATCTTTCTGTGTGGAGTTTGCATGTTCTCCCTGTGCAGCGTGGGTTCTCTATGGGTTCTCCGACTTCCTCCCACACAGTCCAAAAATATGGTGAGGTTAATTGGTGATTCTAAATTGTCCGTAGGTGTGAATGTGAGTGTGCTTGGTTGTCTGTCTCTAAGTGTAGCCCTGTGATAGACTGGAGACCTGTCCAGGGTGTCCCGTGCCTTGAATATTGGGGCTGAAATGTGGAAAAGGGCCTTCCCTAAATCACTTCACACAACTAAGAGTACCGTTGCTTGGGCATCTGTTATGATGTTGGTTTAGATTAAACTTCTGCTGGGTTGAAACTGATAGGGAAATGTTTTCATATGTCTAACCGAGGAGTGCATGTGGAATGTATATATCTAAATATACATATACAATATAAATAACTAACAAGGAATTGAAAGATTCCATGAAAAATACAACCTTTCGTCAATTTTGTAGATACATGTGTAATGTGAAATGTGAAAAACAGTTTGTCCATAGCTTAGTGGTCCAACTGAAACCAAGTAAACGTGTGTGTGTGTGTGTGTGTGTGTGTGCGTGTGTGTGTGTGTGTGTGTGT